AGAGCCGCCACGCCCTCTCTCCCTCTGCGCCCCGAGGACTCGCCCCGGGTCCGTCGGGACTCTCACAGCTCTCAGTCGGATGAGCAGTCCTGCAGCAATAAGGGCTACACCCCCCTGAGCGAGGCCGACACCTCTGTGGAGTCGGTCGTGGACGTGGCGGCCAGGAAAAGGCTGGACTGTGCGGACGCCACCACGGATCCTGGTACCGAGCCCAGCTCCCCGGAGGGTCCCAGTCCGGAGACAATTGGGGCGGAGCAGCCTTTGTCTGTGCAGAGGCAGTTTACAAACAAGGAGAAACTCTTTCTGATTTCCAGGTCTCACACTCCAGGAGTAGTGGATCCGGAACTGGAAAACTCTTCTGCCTAGGGAGAGGGGGGCAGGGAAAGGAGAGACAGTCCCACTGGAACCCCTACATTAACCCCAACCCATTTCCATGTGGACAGGTTCGAGGAAACCATTCAATATCCAAAGAGCTGCAGGTTATCCTTGAATTGCATTCACAAGACTCCTGTAGATAACTCAAGCAATTTTTTTAAAGAAAAAGCAGTCGTCTTTCTATGTCCGATGGTGATTGTACGTTCCATGAAAACCAAATGTATTAAAAGGTCACAATCTAGTTCATTAGATGAAATTCTTTTAATTTTCTTAGGCTCAAAATAATATATTTTTGACAGTAACTCTGCACTTTACTCCAGTTTTTCTTTGCCCACCCCAAACTTTCCTCACCCCTGTGCTCTGCTGCCAACTGTGTTCATAGCTTCTTGTGAATGAATGGCAAGCTTTTCAGTTCCCTCTTCTCGAAGAGCCTAGAAGACTTGTCAGTTCTCTTAGAACTGATATTTCTAGGTGAAGTCAAAGCCTATAGCATGAGCATTCGAGAGAGGGTTCCCTTTGCCTTACCCTACTCCCCGCTATGGCTGTCCAAATGACTATTTTTAGAAAGGATATTTGCATTTTGCTACCAGGGTGTGTGAAGACTGAAGGGCTCCGGCATCTAGACTGGACTGCCACATCCCCAAACTCGCAGTACCGCAGTACAGCAAGCGTTACTGAGTATTATTACACATGTATGGAAAACAACGTTAGTATTCAAAGTCTTCCTTTTTTTAAAATAAAAAGTTTCCAAACAGTGAAACATAAGATTGCCTCGTTTTACCTGGGAACTAATGATTCTAGAGCACAGTAAACATTTAACCATTTCTCTTGTAAATCCAAAGTATTCATTGCTTAAGGCTGTAGTCACCTTCCAAAGTGACAGAGAGTCAGTACAAGTGTGAGTGCATTAATCCATTTCCGGTCTGTGGTTTTAACATGAAGACATAGGGTAGTGTGTGGCCCTTGGGAGTTTTCTCTTTTAAGTGGGATGGAACCTTGAGTAAGTACTATTTTCCTACAATACTTGTAGTTGACCTCAAGGTTATTTTGCAAGGGTGCCTGGCTTACTAAACCCCTCTCCACCCAGTCCTGTTTCTCTATTTGATCTCCATTTCAGGTTCCAGGTCTTGTATCTATGGCTGACATAGGCCACACAGTAGTGTCATCATATTTCAGGAATAGTTTACATTTCATCTGTTGTCAATTGCCAAGACCAGAAAACAGTTTACAGTTCTAATCCCTCTTCCTCTGAGCGGAAGATAGAAACAAACACTGCTTCTGAAGAAAAACTGATGACAGTGTGCTTGTATTGCCCCCCATGAGTGACCAGTGGGGCTGCAGGAGGTGTGTGGACTGGGGGCAGAGGAAGCTCATGGCATTTGCTAGCTGTGGAGTTCTTAGCACTGTAGAAACAGGCCCCCACCATAAGATCTGTAAAATGAGGTCAAAGGACCCTCAGGGCTCCAATGGGAGCAAGTGCTGAGTAGGAAGGAGGAGCAGGGGTAGCGTGCAGAGTCCAGGAGGGTTCCAGGAGAGGTGCTTGCTTTAACACAGGGGCTGCCGTCACACTCTTACCATCGTGATGCATCCTCAGCCCCTGTAGCTGTAGCTGATCAGGCCTACCCCCAGGCTGCTGCAATCTGGGGTAGTTATTCATTATCTGCAGAACCACAGGCAAAATCCCTTAATCCCTTCAGGCCTCTGGGGAATGATGTAATCTCTGTGATCCCCTTCAGCCCTGAAAGCTTAACTTAAATTCAGAGTATTGGATTCAAGCTGGATACAATCTTCTATTTGTACATACAACTTAGCAAAGAGTGATACATTCCGTAAACTTCCATTAGTGCAACTTTCTGTAATAAATTTTAAGTGGACCTAGTGTTCCCTCAGACTATATGCATTAAGCTAATAACTGGCTTTGGATCTCTGGATTAATTTACTGAACTTTTCTATAAAGCAAAAGTGAGTTTTTAACAAGCAAGAGACAAACAAATGCAATGAGACCTCTGGTAACATTGTATTTCCCGTCTGCCCTTGGAGAGCTTGTTACTGAAGAGTTAAAAACCAGGCCCTGATATTCTTCAGTGCTCTTTCCAGTCCTCAAATGTGACATGATGACATTTAACAAATTGTAAAGTTACTCTGGCCTAGTCTAACAAAAGAGGGATGGATAGAATCAATTTTTGCCTTTGCAAACCAGGAAATTCATCCCAAACAATTGACTTCAGTTACTGGTATTTGCGGCTTATTGATATTGATCAGAGTAAACAACACCTCAGTCTCTGCTGACGAATGTCAAGGGGATGGAGTACTGAAGAAATGATTTAATCTACGAATAAAGTTCTTGTAACAGGCTTGGCACATAGACAGTGCTATAAAAGTTTCATTAGTGTTATTTGTAACAGCCTCAACCCCTAAGTAGACTTACATCATATGGGCTTCTTTTCTTATTCACAGAATAATTTTAGGTTTAAAAAATCCAATGTGTAAATCAGGAGAGCACGGTGGCACAAAGTGTGAGTTATATAACACTGCCTGGGTTTCTGAGTCTGTTGAATAGCAATAATAATAGCATTTGACTCATAGGATTAATTATTCAAGTGAGGGCTAAATAAACTAATATGCTTAAAGGACTTAGAACAATTCTTGGCACACAAAAATTTCACTAAATGTTAAGCACCATTACATAAGCAAAATTCAGAAAAGTAATTAGTAGCCTAAATTTATCAGCCAATTTTTAGGGACAATGACAGATTTATTGTATAGAAAAGTCTTAATAACTTAGGTATATTAGAGAAAATAGATCTTCAGCAGGGAAGCCTTGAGCAAGGATGCAGTCTTTCGGCTCAGAACCATGACGTTACATAACAACGGGTGAGTGCCCAAAACCCATCACTGCATTTGGCCACCATTTGTTTCCTTTCTGTTTACTGAAGCTGGGCACATCTGAAAGGCCAGTGCGCTCCTGAGGTAGCAGCACTGTCTGTCAGAAAGCCCCAAGGTCAAGATCAAGTGCTCGCTCTACACAAACGTGCTCTCTGTCAGTTTCCAGTCACGGTGGGCTTCTCTAGAGAATGGATTTTTGAGTTTTGTTTTTTGTGCTGAAGGAGTTAAAGAAAAACCCTCCTTACAATATCAATGCAAACTCTAAGTATATGAACTTGTATTTTAATTATATAGTATCTTGCCAAGGCATAAAATTTACTTCCCTCTGAATCATAAATAAAATCGTGTATTAATGGTTGTACCATAAGGTGGATATTTTCCTCATTCATAACAAATAAAATGTAGGCATAATAGTCACTGGCTTTGTTTTGTATAGAAGGGGATATTTTCATTATATTATTGGAGGTGCTAAAATCAAGAATTAAAAATTTGAGGTTATGCCGGGCATTGGTGGCACACACCTGACTGAACTCAATACCAGCACTCGGGAGGCAGAGACAGGTGGATCTCTATGAGTTCGAGGCCAGCCTGGTCTCCAGAGCGAGTGCCAGGATAGGCTCCAAAGTTACACACAGAAACCCTGTCTCGAAAAAAGAACTGAAGTTGCTGACTTTTTGAATGACTATAGCTCTGAGTGCATTTGGAAACTCCTCCTTTTCAAGGGACTCATCTCTGAGGGTTTTTTTTTTTTTAAATCTTCAAAATGAGATGAGTTTCTTTAAATGGATATAGATATTATGTTTTATTTTATTAATTCTCCACAAATTGGACAACCCAAATTAGTCAAACATCATCCTGCTACTCTCCAAAGGCAAAATAAATAAATAAATAAATCCAGATAAAACTAATATTTACTGTGTACCACCTGGCCATCATGGTGTCAGAAAAGCACAGGGCTAGTATTGAGTTCAGTCAGGGCTGAAGCATTCCAGGAGTTACCAAGGCCTATCCCCCCTGGTCATCTAGCACCAGGCTTGAACCATCTCAGGAATTATCACCATCCAGGTGATCTTTTTGTCTCCCCAGAGCCTGAGGCTTTTAAAAGCTTCTGCCATCTGAAAATGCTTTGTTATTCAGCGTTCCGTGGACTCTCATCCTGCTCCCTTCACTCATGCCAGCTTTGCTGTGGCTTTTTGTGACAATCGGGACTTTGACAGATTCAATGCTAAGGTAACTCATTGCCTTACCAATCCGGTGTGTTACTTTGTGGTACACGGAGCATCACAAAGCCTGGGCCTGTCTGTAGCTATGTTTCTGATCCCCAAGTGTGAGTCCTAGTGATGTCAGGACTCACCTACCAGTAACAAGGGAAGCAACCAGTTGCCAGGCCCAGGTATGGATCAGAAAGAGGATCCCTGACAAAGACAGGACAGTTGAAGTCAGGTGAGCACCTCCAGAAATGACTTCATCACAAAAAGGAGCACTTGGTTCCTCTGCTTTATGGATGTGACTGTGCTGGATGCAGAGACATGTCTTATGATGAAGAAATGGAGAGTCCCTGTTCCTTAGAAGACACCTTTCAGAAAATATATAAGAGGACATGTGTGTTTCTCATTGTTTAAGAAATGCAATATAACTGACACCAACCCCTTTGATACTGGTAACTACTAAATGTCTGATAATGCCCAATAGTCGAAAAGAAGCCATTGTTTTAAGGTTAACAAACTCGAGCATCTATCTTTTAACTAACCAACTTTCAGTGGAAGAACCCCGCCCCCGAGTTATTATTTATCAGTACATTCAGTCAGTGAAAGCGAAGAAGGCGGAAAACCTGCTTTGTTTTACTTCCAGGCTTGTACCCTTCCTTTGCTTTGTGAGTGTTAAGTGTCTGCCATTCCAGGTTGTAGAGATACAATCTTAACCGAAAAGCAAATAACCTGTCAGAACAACCAGAGCTGCAGTCCTTAGAGTTTCCAGCCCAGCTTAAATTTATCCTGAATTGCTTTCGGGGAGCTTGGTAATCACTATGCTGTGCTCAGAGGGTAACTGAATAAAACACCAGGTCCCACCGCAGGAACTTATAGGGTTGTTTTTTGAGGCAGGCG